AGATATTGCTTCTTCTGTATACAGGCAAAGCTCCACCAAGATTGACAGATAGGAATTACTAGAATTATATATATGTACAGGAGAAAGAATTTGACTTGCTGTAGCTGCAGAAGCCCAACTATTCTCTATGTTCCTTGTCTGTGGAATGTTTGATGCTTAGCTCTGAACATTTTAAATAAAATAAAGATCTTGCTTGAAGTTTTTGTGGCAGAATTCCCAGAAAGGATTTGCCATCTGCTCTTTGGAGCTCCACTCCACTAAGATAGCAACAACTTTTGCAGACGTAGTACTCTATTGTATGGAATCTGAGACACTTCCATTTATCCATGTGAGTAAGGCATCTGCACATGATAGTTCTTGCCACTTGTTAAAGTGGTGAAATAATCCCCTATCCTCATCAAATATATACCTCCTGTTGGTTAGTCTGGAAAAATCAAACATCAAGTGTAAGATTTTAATTGGTTAATGTCTAATTAGAGACCTTCTGGTAGAAAAAAAATACAAGTTTTAAATATAAATTTTCTAAGATAACAGACGAAGTAACTTTCCCATAAAATTTTACTTCAGCAAAAACATGAATTGTTTTTATTGTGTAAAATTTTAGTTGAAACTTGTCATGCAATTAACTTAGTGAACAACCATACAAAACCTTACTTTATTTTTTTTAATTACTCAGTCTTTAGAACTGGGTAAACTCTAAAGCACTCCTGAGGAATTTGAGTCTGAACTATGACCAAATCTTTAATCATCATGAAAAGCCCCATCAGGGCTGATTTCCAACAACAAAAAGCCTATGCAGAGGTAATTTAGTTGATTACTGAGTCCCAGGGCATGATTTTCAAAAGAAAGCAAATCCTGGTAGATTCCAAGCATATTCCCAAGCACTTCAGTATGTGCATACTCTGCAGAACAGTCTTTCCTAATGATCTTGCCAAGTCTTGATGATGTCTTCAAAGACACTGAGTAGCTTCTGCTTCACAAAAATCAACAAGGATTTAATATATTCAGCTACATTAGGTCTTATATTTGTTCTGTACATTTCTGTACATGCAAATACATTTTGCACATTTTTGCTATTGTACAAGCATGTTTAACTCCTGAATAGCTTTGGTGAACATATCCCCCTATCAGTTTTTGCCATTTGCTGACATACACCTCCTGAAAATTTGGTGACACAAAGGAAAAAGCCCGTCCTGAAAAGCTTACTATGGGTAATTGCAGGTTTTTTTCCCAAAGCTAAACTTTGGCTTTATGATAAGGGATCAGAACTGAAAGGAAAAAAAAAATAAATCAGAAAATGAAGCTTAATGTATAAAGTGTGCTCCAAACAAAGTAAGCACTGGTGCTAGGATATTTTTCCCCAAATGACGAAGAAATTAATAATTTGCAAGGTACTTCTCTGACTGGGGTACAAAAATTAATGGGCAATACTTTGTGTCACTTTTTCCAATAACATAAAACCCAGAGGAATGAACTGTGTTACAATATTTAACACTGATGTTGGAGTTTACTAGGTCATACAAAACCTATCTCAAAGAGGTCAGCCTAATAATTTTCTGGATACCCAAAAATCATGATTGTAACTATTTGCACTTAAAATTCTACATAGGCAATTTGTTAAGTGGTTATGAAAAACCATTTGTATGAATTCCTAACTCTGAATGATAATGTGAAGCTTATGGTATGAAGATACCATCTTTGTCTGTGTTTTAGCACACCTTCATGGCCATCATGTCCCTGCCCCTCTTATTGCTATGAAATCCATATTAAATCCCACATCTTCCTTCCCAGCTCTTCTTTATATAGCTCTTCTATGCTGACAACAGACACCTCCTCTTGTGATTTTTCCCTTTCATTACCTAGCACGTAGTAGTCTGTGAAGTAAATGTAAGTCTATTATTTTCTCACTAGGTTAAGAATTGTGTGTTTGGAGATGAAGGTGTGCCAACTAAGTAAATTTTGGTGTTCTACACCTGCATTGTTTTAATGTTGTTGTACTGTCTATGGGAATAGAGCCACAGGTTATTACAAATTGCTAACCAAAGAAAACCAGGCATTTTGCCGTAAGCCTGTGTGTCACTGGTTAAATGCCAAGTGCACTGTTCTAGTTGGAGAGGATTTTGGATCATGAACCAAGATTTGAAGTTCCGTGAACTTCAACAATGCTTTATTCCCTTTCCAAACCTTGCATTATAGGACCATTTTGATGCCAGCTGTTATAGTAGAAGTTGATTGCACCCTATTTATTGTATGGAATTTGTGCAGCCTCCACCAAGTCATGGGAATACTACCCACACGTTCATTTCTCCTACTGTCAGAGGTAATGTTATCATTCCTTTAGTGGAGACTGTCAATATTTCTTGTTTGAGCAGATCATGGGTTTGCTCAGCTGTAAATGAGTTGCACATGAGTCTGTAAAATCCTTGTATTGCCAAAACATGACTTATCAAACTGGGCAGTTAATCTTTCTGAAAGAAACTGCCAATTCAAAAAGGAAAACAGGATATTAACAGGCATTTCAGAACTACTGCAGTAATTAAATGATGATTTTAGTCCAACAAAAGATGAGTTTTAATTGTTTTATTGTACAATTTAAAGAAGGAATATTTTAAAGAAATGTAGCAATGAAATTTTGTTGATTTTCTATGAGATAATTGGAAGATATGAAGCTGCATACCCATGAAAGTAGGCAAAAAAATATATTAAAAATAAGCCACAAAGCAAAATCTTTTTGCTTTCTTAATGAAATCTGGAATTACTGTACACCATTCTTTTTAACCTATGGTACCACAGATACCAGAGGAGGAACTTCTTGTATAAACATATTGTGCCACTTTGTTAATAGAACTTTTTGATAAATTTTACTTGTTTAATTTTTAATACTTAAGAGCAAAGAAAGTCACTGACTCCCTTGGCTGATTATTCTATGATATAATAAATCACTACACACTCCACATGACACCATCAAGAGAAGAATTTTCACTGAAGCAAAAAAGTACTCCTATAGCTTTTTCACCCCACAGAAAGGGGATTATAGGAACTGACTAGTGATTTTTCTTTGTGGAACTTCCTTTACAAAACAGAAGTGCAGTGGTTTATTTTAATTTAAAAGTTTTTGGTTTAATTTCTGTTGTTCCACTCAGTGCAACGTTATGGGACCACCAAGAGGCTTGAATAAAGGACAGGATATAATTTTACTACACAGGACTAAATCAGGGAATGAATAACGGTATAAGAGTTATAATGCAAGGCCTTGTGTAACTTTACTCTGTGGGGGGATTGTGTTGAGCCAACCCAACTTCCCTGGGGACTGGCACAATTTACCTCTTGCAGCACCTCTCCTTCCTGTGCCCCCTGAATGGAATGGAACAGCAGGACTGCAGCAGTCCTTGTCCTTAAGGTATTTCTCAGCATTTGAAATACCCTGAGGAAAATGTTGGGGGGCTGGGAATAAAACCCTGGTAGTCACTGTTCAAGTTCTTTTGCAGGAAAACATAAAAAATAGATATTATATGATAGATATGAGATAAGTATATTTTCATGTCTACTCTATTTTCAACTGTAGCAAGGTGATTGCCGGTCATAACTTTTGCTTAATCATTGCCTCTGACCTCTCCTGACATAGTTCACAACTTGACTATAGGAATTTTTTTTTTCTATTTTTGTCTTCCTTGTTCTCCTGACAGGAACATGTATTTCAGTTTATTACACACCCATGTTCTTTGTGTTGCTGGGGTTTAAACCTGACCTAATTTGCAATGATGCAAATTATTACTGTCATGCTGTCTACTCTTGCTTTTGCTATTCCTGTCCTTTTTGGGGTCATTTTCACTTGCTTTCTGGCTTTTTTAGCACCTTGAATTTGTCTTTTCAAGATCTCCATACCTCTGACAAGAAAATTTTGTTGTAGCTTCCAAATAATATTGAAATTGGAACACTTTTATTAACAGAAATCAAGAACAAGATTTTAAAGAAATGGCTAAGTAGAGTGAGCTGCTTTAATAATATTTGGCAAATGTAGTGATATGGTTTTCCAGTAAGTCATTAATGTTTTTTAGCCCCATTACTGGCATGAAATAAACTAAAAAATTAATGCTAATAATCCACATGAACTTTGACTGCCAAGGGAATGACTTACCAACATCCTCGGTAGAGAGGGCAAAGGTGAAGGTGAGAGGTTCTGTCCCCTCAAGCTGGAAATGGCTGGAGCACTTCTGGGGACACTGCACACATCTCAGACTGCAAAATGCCACCTGGGTGGCCTCGGTGGCCGTGACTACTCAAAAGACAAGGAGTGACTGGACAGGGTGCAGTGGAGAACCACAAAGATGATGAGGGGTCTGCAGCAAGAGCGGTGGGAGCTGGCTGTGTTTCAGTCTAGAGAAGGCTGAGTGGGGATCTCATTAACGCCTTCAAAGACCTCAAAGACGGGGGCTTATAGGGTGATGCCGGGCTCTTCAGTGGCGCTCAGCAATGAGGAGCAAAGGCCATAAACTAAAACGCAAGAAGTTTCACCTCAACACGAGGAAGAACTTCTGTACATTGAGGGTGGCAGAGCACTCCAACAGGCTGCCCCTATGGAGCATTCTCTCCATGGAGACATTCAACACTCACCTGGACGCGTTCCTGTGCGACCCGCTCTAGGAGACCCTGCCTTGGCAGGGGGCTGGACTGGATGATCTCCAGAGGACCCTTCCAGCCACAACGATCCTGTGATTCTGTGACTCCGTGCCGGCGTGCCGGAGCCCCCACGCCGCCCCGCCGGTCCTGCCCTGGGGCCCCGCGGCCGCGGCGGGAGGGCTCGGCCGCCGCGCCGGGCTCGGGGAGCGGCGGCGCTCGCCGGGCTCCCCGCCCCGCCCCTGCCTCCCGTCCCCGCCGAGGCCGCTCGGCCCCGCGACCCCCGCCGCTCCCCGGCGCCGAGGGGGCGGCGGGCGCGGCAGGTGCGGGCGGCCCCGCTCCCCCCGGTGGCCGCGGGCCCGGGCGGGGTTGCGCCGCCGCGGATGCAGGCGCTGGCCCGGCGCCAGCGGCATCGGCGCGGGTTGCATCAGACGAGGCGCTCCGCCGCGGCCGCGGAGCCGGCTCGGTGTTGGCCGGGCGGCCGCAAGATGCTGCGGACAGCACCCCGGCTGCTGCGGACCATCTGCACCACGGCTGCGGTGAGTAGCGCGGGGCGGGCGGCTTCACACCCGGGTCCCCCGTGCTGTGCCGTGCCGAGCCCGGGAGCGAGCCGGTCGCGGGGCAACCGCAGGGAGGGGGATGGCTGGAGAGGGTATTTTCCGGGATGTGATGCCTATCGTCTCTGCCGAGGATTTAGCAAAGCCGTGCAGGCACGGCAGAATCGGGAAAGGGCTCGGTGTGGGCACAGAGCTGCCCGACTGTTCGGCGAGCGGGATCGCAGCCATCATCTGGGTGCTGCATCTTGCAGGGATGTGCCTGGAAGCTGCGGGGAACGGGCACCAGCGATGCCGTGATAGTGCCCCATAATCGTGTGTCAAGAACAATGTGATGCAGCCGTTCTCTGCCTCCCTCAGGCTGGGTTTGCCCTGCGAGAAGCTGAAGGCTGTCTTCTCAATTAGAAGGGACCATGCTCGTTCCCAGTGCCTAAGTGTAGCCCCCCGCTCTGGCCTGTTTCTTTTGTGACCTTCTCATCGCCAGTTCATAGCTCTGGCATGATGGGCTGCTCAGGGTTGAAGTTGATGGCCTAAATTCCTCTGCACCCCATGGTTTAGCCTTTTATAGCTCTGAGCATTTGTTTCAAGCCATTTTCTTTATGTCCGGTTACATATATAGACTGCAGAACTCCTGTAAGAAACCTTTCCCTGAAAGCCTTGTCCAGTCCAAATTGTCCAGATGTGTAGGTCTGGCAAGTTGTATGAGGCTTGGGGGATTTTTTTCTTCCCTAGAGAATGTTCATTGTTTCGTGCTTGGCTGCTCAGTTTCGTGTGAGGACAGCAATCCTTGGAAGGTATCTGCATGGAAGGCGTTAGAATAAGGAGATTTAACACAAGCCTTTTGGAAATGCAACCAGCAGTGCCAAAAAAGAGAATGAATGAATGGTGGGAACACATTGCCCTGGATGTGTATGTAGATGGGGGCGGGGCTCTACTATAGACTTCTATTTGCAGGCGCTGGAATTCGGCACATGTAGGGGGATCTCAGTAGAAATAAAGTTACAGTACTGCTTTTCAAAAGAAGCATCTTTCTATGACAATTTTAAAAAGATGAAACATTAAAATATTTTAGCCTTACTCATTTCTTATGCAAACAAAATAAAATATTATAATCTTTTTGATAATAAGATTTGTACCCAGAGTAGCAGTTACTAAATCTTAATTTGCAGGAAATTTAATTAGAAGTGATAACCAATTGAAGTTTAGATGCACACACAAAAGAGGCAGTAACAGCAAATTATTTTTATCCAGATAAAAAATATTCTCCTGTGGAGAGATTTTGTAAGTTTGGACTCTTCTTAGAGAAGAAAATATAGATGTTGGACTAATCTCCCATTTCTAGAAACTAGAACTTGACAAGATATTTACCAGCATTTGTCAGGCTGTCATCTATGCAGTACTTAATTCTATTCGTTAGTTTTATTTCTGTTTAAGTGTTTTGGAGGAAAAAGAGAACAGGAATTGAATCAAACATTAAAATACTGTACAGCTTTTAATGAGCTATTTTAAAATAAATACCAGTATGGTATCAAGAGATCATATGGACAGAATTTTTAAATACAGAAGTTAAACTTAAATCTGTGCTCTTGTATTGAGGTGGTGAAACACAGGTGAACTTTGAGATGCACTGAGCATTAAAGATAAGGGTGCTTGTACAAACATTTATTGGATTATATGCTTCTACCTTTATCTTATTGTCTTCATTCAAATAATGAGTACTTGAGTCAAGGAAACATAATCACTGTTAATATGTGTTACGTAATAAACAAAATAGAAAGTTAAAGAATAAATTAAAAGTTCAGACAGTGAATACAACAGAATTACAGGAGAGTTAAAACTAATTTCCTAAAATCTTGCATTTTGGCAGCACTGTGATAATAACTACATTATTCTATGATTAGTCATAAAAGAAGGGGCAGATCTCCCTAAGCCACCTGAACTGCATTGTATGCTATAACTAGGAATTGGGTAATCTTACAAAAGTGCAGCAAAAATCCACTGTGATGCTACATGACCATTAACCTTCACATGCACGGTTCGTGCACGCTGCACAGTCATAGTCAGCCAGGAACTGCAAAAGGAATCTAATGTAATCTGTTAACATCACTGTCAAAAAAAAAAAAAAGTTTAATTCTAACACACTATTCAAAACCAAGATTGTTTGGGTGTTCTTTAAAAGACTTTCTAAAATTTCATGATGAATGCTAGCAATGGCACACTGGCCAAAATGTGCCATTTCTGTAAGACAGAAAACACCAAACTCTTTTTCTTATCTGTCATCTTTTCGAACTTTCCATTTTAATCATATCCACATTCAATTCTTCCACAGAATTTCCTACTTCCACAGGTCTGATTTATTTTTGGTAAAAATGCTTAAGGAGAGTTTCCAAAAAAAAGTTATGAATGGCTATAGTATCTCATGCAGTTGTTCCACCTTAATTTTTCAAATAAGACCAAAACCAAAAGACTGAACTTGTTGTCTGAGCATGCAAGCAGTTCCACACAGATTTTTTTTTTTTTAACTCAGTAGAAATCCTGTTTGTGGCTGACTTCTGTGTACCATTCAGTGGAGAGAGAACTCAAGAATCACTGGTTACAGTTACCAGATCCATCTTGCAATTGAAACCAGTTCCCATTTGAGTTCCTTTCTGGAAGTGTGAGGCAGCAAAGCTGATTTACTGCCTGAGTAATGTTTTTATGCACTACAGAATTTCCCCCTCTGCAGTCTTCTCAGTCTTGGCAGTTTCAGCTTGGATTTGGTGGGGTTTTTTAATTTGTTATTAATTTGGGGACTATGTTCTCTCTTTGTTTCTCACCATTTATTGATCCAGTTCCACAGCTAGCACAAATTAAATGTGTGGCTTTACTGAAAGTATGTTGATTTACAGCAACTCGTGATTTGGTACTGGAACTGCTATGCCATTCCATGTAGTATGAGAATCAGATTTAATCACAAGGCAACATGAACTGAAAGTGTAGGAATAGAGGGTGCATATGTTATTAACACTTTGTGAAAAAGTAACTCTTTAAGTGGTGATAAATTTGGACTCAAAATTACATGAAGATTGTCCAAGTATCAGAAAAGCAGCAGAGTACAGAAGTGAATACTTTAAGAGTTCTTTGAAAAGGAGTTCAAGTAGATTTATAAAAGCAATCATATGACATGATTTTTTGTGATGGCAGAGGAGAAGATTCATTAGCTAAGAAGATCCCTTCCAGTCTTGTGTTCTTAGTGAGAAATGTTAACAAAAGGGTAGAAGTAGAATAAGTAATTCTCATCTGGACTATTTTTAATATTTATTCAATATACTAGTTGGGCACTAGTTAGCACAGTACAGAAATCAGAGGATTTCATACCATGCTAAACATGTTCAGTGATCCAGCAGGTCAATCTTTGTCCAATTTGCCTGCTATAGTTAAAATACGTGGTAAAAATCCAATAATTGTTTTTTGTAGTGCAGCAACATTTCTGCTGTAAAAGACATTTGTCATAAAGCCTTGATAATGACCACTACCTGCATCAGTTTGGCCTTGCTAGGTAAGGATTGCAAGGCTAAGTTGTAATTCAGAACAAGGTCTTGTCTTTGTTAAGAACAAAATAGTGGACTATTTGAGGTATAGTCAACAATGCAGTGTTGGTTAGTAATATTATCATCATCAGTCTCACAGACATTTTTTACCAGCCAATTATAACAGTATGATTTTCCAAGGGCTTGAGTTATGTCCACCTTTGCATCTTTCTGCCTGTTTCTACTGCAGTGGCACTAGTGCTGAGTAATGCTGCAATAGAGGATAGTTTTACTGTGCAGTTTCATTCTCAGGGAAAATATTGTCTCTGGTACAAATAATTATTTCCTATTGTTTTATATTAAAAAAAATAAACACACTTCAATATTGCTGTAATGGAACCTACCAATTCATAACTCCCTTTTCTAAAGCCAGCTGCACAACAAAAATGCAACCTGAAACCAGTAAAATACATCCATAATATGTCAGCTGTGAAATGAATTGCAATGGATTGTGGTTTTGGGTAACCTGTTTTTCAGGAGCTTTCTCTTTGTCATATGAGTGCAAACCATTTGTAATCAATCAATAACCCAGTCAAAGTATCCTCATGTCCCAGCACCCTAAGAAAGAGAGGGAGAGGGAGGAGATAAACATACAAGTGCCAACCTACAAGCAAAATAAATGTCAGTAGTTATGACATTCATAGAGTGTTTTGATTCCTCTAATGGGTCATAAGGAAAAAATGGAAGTCAAAGTCCAGTTGTGAAAAATGAAGTTAAGAACAAAGGCAAGGAGTGTGTGTATTTAATTCCTACCTTTCATTCAGGCCTTCTAAGAGGAGGGATCTGTATGGTTTGAGTCTAGGAATAATTTGTGCCAGATTCAGCTTTGAGGAAGGTAAGTTTTCTGTTTATTCTGTGTGGACTTTTCCTTTTTAACGACGTCTGATAGTCCATTTGTTTTTCAAAGGTTTCCAGTTTTCATTTTCCAAAAGCTGACTAAAAATGCAAAGACAGTGCATATAGAGGCAGTTCCACCCTTCTGCCATGTTTCCATGTTCATTCCTGCTCCCCTGCTGGCCCTGTGTTAGGACTCATGGCTGTGCTATAAATTAGACCAGTGAATAGATCCAGTTATACATAAGCCACATTTTTCATGTCAGTGCCTGCTCACTTCAGTACCCTAATGCAGTTCTTGCAGCTACAGGAGCACCAGTTCTAGGATAAAGGAGGTGTAGAAGGTGAGGGACTGGAGGTAGGGTGGGAGGGGAGCACAACTGCCACATAAATCTAAAAAGACTCTGAAGGAAAAAGTAGTTTCCTCAGAAAGAAATCACTTGAAAAACATAGCAATATCTATTCATCTGATATCATTGTAGTCTTGTGATTCTATCTTAAATTAAAAAAAAAAAAAGTGGAAGTGGTTACTTGCACCTGCTCTGCCTGAAGAAGCTTAAATCACATGTCCAGTATGCTAGGATCCAAGTCCAGCAAGGGAACCTCACCTTTAGCACCTTTATTTGCTTGTAGGAAGATCAAATGGATGATCATCACCTTTAACTTGGCAGGAACAGTGCAAGTTTGTCTTTTTGGCCTATACATGTTGATCACCAATAATATACCTCTGTTTAATTACAGGGATTTAGAGGGCATGTTCCAAACACATAAGTTATGCCTAGAAAAAGTGGTTTATATATGTTTCAAAAAATGAATTTTCATTTCTGACTGTGGATAAGGTTATGGAGCCTGTCATAAGAAGCAGTGGGTGGTCTGTTCTAAAAATTCTAAAAAATTCTAAAAAATTCTAAAAAAGCCATATAAACATCCCTGACAGTATTAGATGATACTTTCATGTGAAACATACTCTCCCTGAATTCTATGCTACCTGGCATTAATCTAAAAAATTTATTATTACTCCTTCAAAGATGATTAGGTTAGAAAAGACTATTTCATTTTATATCAAACTGAAAATTGACAAAGAAATACCAAGACAGAAATGTAAGCAACAACATATTTCCTTTACATCCTAGAACATGTTTTGTTTTAATTCTTTTTACCAGGCTTATCAACATAAGCTAAAGCTAGCCCTTATAGGTCAAAGTATTTTTGGACAAGAAGTTTATAAAAAGCTGAGAAAAGAGGGGCATAAAGTTGTGGGTGTATTCACCGTGCCTGACAAGAATGGACAAGCTGATCCTTTGGGTAAGTGTAACCTGAATCCAAATGTAAAAATTACAGGTGTACATAACAAATTTTCCTTTTCATGAGAAGGTTATATCTATATGGGGATGAATTGCATATATTGCCTTTGATCCACTAAATCCAGTAGAAGACCTATTTAACAAACACCAGTCCCAGAACCAGTTAAACCTTGTCCATATATCAGTACTTTTAAAAAGCAACTTTTAAAGTAGTTTGTAAGCATGCAGGGCTGTACATTAAGATATTGCAAAACCAAAATTAATCTGGATATCTTATTTGAATGTACACCGTAGAGGTAATTATTCTGAACTAGATCTGTATCTTACAGAAAAAAGCTGCTGAGCCTGTATTCAAGTCCAAATGTCTGTCACCTGCTTCCATGTGCTGGCTGGGACACGCAAGGCGTGGAGCCAAGATTGTTTGTCCCTGGCTTTATGCCCTTTTGGACAAACTCGTATGTGGCGGTGTACATGCAGATCCTATTTCTCTTCCACCTGGACTATGGAAAACACATTGAAAAGGTTGAAGAAGTCTTTAATCTCCCTTTTTCCATTGTCGAGGTGCATAAGGATTTTCTGGGCTTACTGAAGAAAGAAGTTTTGCTTATTCAGAATTATACTCATTGTACTCAGAACCCAGCATAGCAAAGAAGCTAATTTGGAACCATCTGAATTGGCAATTTACTTTGTTTTTTGTTTCAGTGACGCAAAGACAGTGAATTAATATGTTTAGCAAATAGAAATGCCACAATGGAATGTACCTTTATGGATAATCTGAAATCAAAACTACATTCCATGAGCTGTTTCAATTCTGTCGTGTTTTTGTTTGGGTTTTTTTTTGGGATTTTGTTTTGTTTGTTTTTTGTTTTTGTCTGGTCCTGATATGTTTTTACAGAACTCTGGTGAGGGAAGAATCAAACATAAATTTTGCTTACTGGTGCTGTGGTGTTCACAGGCTAGCATGTAATTCTCAATTCTACCTCATTAACAGATTTAATCACACTTTGGAACAACTAGAGAAGGCAACTATAAGCTTAGAAATCGTAAAATTTACTATCCATGTCTGGTTGGATTGCATTATATAACAATTTTATATACAATGTAGCATAACTTGTTTGACAAATGTAACTAAGTAAATCTTCCCCGTCTTTCAATCATGTATTTATTTTTAACTAAAACCACAGGATTAATTTAGTCCAATCTCTCCTGACTGGGGGAAAAACCCGAAATTACATTACTAGATATTTTCACTTCCTTTTACTTCCAGCTGACTCAAAAGCTTGAGTCTCAAGTGTTTCCTGAAGTTTTCCGTGCCCTCAGACAGCTACGGTCTTTGTTCTCTAAAAGTAACTTCAGTACACTAACTTGCATGGAATGATATTTAAAGAAGTATTTACTTAAGACTTAAATCAACAAGCTAAAGATACTTCAGGTCAAACTCAAGATCCAATTATACAGACAAAAAAGAGAAAGTAAAGTATAAATATCTGTCTTTTCTGCTTTCATTGGTACTCATTAGCCAAGTCGTAAGAGCAAACTAAAGGTTGGGATTGACATAAGCTGTAGAAATGAGAATCAAAGACAGTTTAATAAAATATATCCAAGCACAAATGCTTTTAAACAGCATACAGAAGGGCACTCTGTGGTCACATACTTGATGATCTGCTTCAGTTGTCTTGCAATGTATCTCTGATTTCAGCTGAATTTTTAACACAAAATGAAAAAAACCGATACTGTTCTTGCCCCTCAGCGCTGGCAGCGGAGAAGGACGGCACTCCTGTTTTTAAGTTCCCCAGATGGAGAGCTAAAGGCAAGCCTATCCAGGAAGTAGTTGCAGCCTACAAATCAGTTGGAGCAGAGTTAAATGTCCTTCCATTCTGTACACAGTTTATCCCCATGGATATTATTGACTGCCCAAAACATGGCTCTATTATTTACCATCCATCCATCCTACCACGCCACCGAGGAGCTTCTGCAATCAACTGGTGAGTTCTGTACATAAAACCACGTGTCTGTCCCATTAGGGTGCTGCTCTGCCCCCTTTACTCTTGTAAATGCTGCAGTTCTCTTGACCTGCAAATGCTCTGAAGGAACTTCTCTGGAGCAGCTGACTATTTGGTACATGAACTGCACTTCATAGCTAGGATTCATCATTATTTCCAGTGTGAGCTCAGCTGTTACTCTGGGAGGATCAGTGGTGTGAGCTGTGCATTCATATATTTTACTCACATGCGCAAATCAACAATCTGGAGTTTCCATAAGCAGGACACTGCCCTTGTGGCTCATCCCCACAAACACTAGATAACTATCACAGGAGTTTTACTCACATGCGCAAATCAACAATCTGGAGTTTCCATAAGCAGGACACTGCCCTTGTGGCTCATCCCCACAAACACTAGATAACTATCACAGGAGGGTCTGATATAGACCCTAAGATTTCACACAGTGAAAGGGAGAAGAGAGAAGAGAGCCCACAAGAATAAAACTTTTTCTCACAAGGTCAGTTCAAATCATCACCCCAAAAGAACTACACTGCAATAATGGCCACAATAGACTCAAATCTGGCACTCTAGTGACAACAAAAATGACAATATCACAGTGTCTAAATTCAGTAAGAAATTATTTAAATATGGAGAAACAATTTTACAAGAATCTTACAGGCAACATGGTGATTATCTGAATTTACAGTGTTGTGGATTCAAAGCAAAAGCATACATAGTTTTGTTTTGTTAATTTTAATCCTTCCTGGAAAAAGTACTAAGCTGAAATACTTAAAGAGAAATGTTAAGGAGACTATTAGAAAGGTAAAGACTTCGAAAAGTGTCAGTTGTGTCCAAGTGTGTGAAGTAAAATAACATAAACTCAGTGGAAAATGAGAGTGAGACAGTCCAGAAAAGAAATAAAGAACCAACTTTTTAAGGCACAAAATATAATAACAATTCCTCCAAATACGTTAAAGGTGGGAGGTATGTAAGTGATAGAGGTGTGGGATTTAACAAAGGTATTTATCAAAGACAATACCACAGTAGGAAATGTATATTGGTATTCAGGATGGAGGAGCTTAAGATGACTATCCTTCAGTCCTTCTTTCTGTAGAATAAGTCAAAGTCTCTTGAGCTGAACTGTGAGCAGAAGACATTTTCATGAACTGATGAAGGTATAAGAAACTCTTTACCAGGATGACAGGACTTCAGCAAATTTGAAGTTGCAGATTTGAGATGACCTGCAGTGTTTCTGTTTCTTAAGATTATGTTGATGCAGGTGACTGGGAAATAGCAAAAGCAATACCAGTTTTAAATAGGCTGAAAGAGAAAGCCAGGAAACTGTAGATCAATGGCACTGATTTAAATTTGTAATAAGGAATACACTTTCTGTGAAAATGAGCAGATGTGATAATGTGAGAGTAGAAAATGAGAGGTCAAATTCAAAGTTAAGAAACATTACATAATGCACACAAGGGGGAACCCCCCTGACTATATGTAAGCAGTGTTAAAGTTCATTGTTGTTACTCAGAAAAGGATTGTTATTACTCACCATGGAAGGATCCATTCATTCAAGAGCTGGACTCGATGGTCCCTGTGGGTCCCTTCTAACTCAGAATAATCTGTGATTCTGTGATCTTAAATACTCTCTGCATCTCAGTTGGAACATAACTAGCTAAGTTCAGAAAAGGCTAAGAAAGATGATCAAAGGTATAGGAAAGTTTTCACATGACTGGATACAAATTATGTAGTCTTCAGACTGAAAAGAGGTCATTGGGAAGGACATACACTAGCTGTGTGTTGAGCCACAAAAGACATGGAGAGGTAAAAAAGGAATGATTGCTCATTCTAATCAAAAGTCAGGGAGCAGCCAGCAAAGACATCAGGTAGTAGGATTTTTCCAAATAAATGAGGTCCTTTTACTCCATGCAGTTTGTTATTAAATTGTGCAACCTCATATCTAGAAAGCTTTAAAAGGATGCTTTCATGGAAAAGTTAATCAAGATGTATTTCACAGGAAGGTGTAGACACAAACTCTCTTTCAGGAAGTGCAAAGGTTTGCAGAAATGGGAATGCATTGCAGTGTTATATCAGTGCATCTTGCTCTATTTTGCGTATTCCTTCTGCAAAAGGAATCAATCTGCTCCTGCCTTCTCAAGAAAAGGCTGTTGTGCCAAGGCCTTTAAACTGAACTAGGATTTGGCCTTGGCTAACTGTTCTTGTGTTTCACCCTCTCATCCCTTCTCTAATCACTGCTTTCACATATGATGACTACAGACCTGAGGCTGGTCAGATTCTTTATTCCCACAGTATAACCAAGAAAACCTTTGGGAATTAGGCATGGCTAAACATAACCAGGTATAAACAAGGGGTGCAGAGGGTTGTCACTCACTCACTTCCTTTACATTCTTTTCCAGCTGCTGCCATTCTGTTATCAGCAGCCCTTAGTGGAGGGAGCTGGTGGACAGAGGAGGAAGCACAAAGTAGTTCTTATCTTGTCACCTATTCAGCATCAGAGACATTTGCTCATAAAACCTTCTTTTCCATGCTGAGGTCATCCATTTCTCACTAGAGTGCTCTTATGGAATTTTTATATAATAAAAACCAGAAGAAATGCAGCTTAATATGTGAAAGATCTGATAAGGGCTAGCCAAATTTCTGTAAGTTTTCACTTCTGTTATACCTGCCAACTTTCCCCATTGTCTTTGGAAGCCATCCCTTGTTCGGCCCATATGTACTTCAGTGTACTTCACTCATTTGAATAATGCAGCTCTCAGTGCTTATAATTAATAATGAATTTTCCTGTGTATAAGCCAGATCTCAGACAATCCTGTTACAACATGGATTGCTGAGGGAATACTTACATGATATATGTATTACTTAAAATAGCATTGGAGTTTGCATGCATACAAATGGCTGGAAACATGCAGGAAATATTTTTCTCACCATTTCTGGCTGCTCCCTTAAATACACTTCAGTCTGATTTTCCATCATTCTGAGACACGTGGCCAAAGGAGAACTGCAAAATTTTAGGTGGCTGAAGTTCTCTTTGAATGCAGAAGCAGATTCTGAGATGAGGTAAATCAGCACAGGTCTAATGTAAGCATTGCTATGTTCGTGCACAGCAGCTGGGAATCTGGCTGGATTCCCTAGCCTTAATTCCCTTAAAAACTTTTCCTTAAACAGTTGCATATTTATCATTTTCCAGTCTGGTTTTAACTCTTTTCAGCTGTATGACAAATGTACTTTACTTTTTGACCTACAGATAAGCCATGAGCCTTAGCTGATTTCAGTAAACAATTATGAATTATTAAGATAATATTCTGTTAGATGCTTCCGTCTTTCAAATTCTGTCATAACTGTTGCACACTTTTTGGTCTGAGTGTCTTGCCATTAATAATAGTTTAGAAATAATTATCACAAGGAACTGTGTGAGACAGCCTGGGTTCAGTTGCAGCATTTCCTATGTTGCATTGTGGAAACCACACATCCACAGTGTCAAAAACTGTGGGTTCCTGACTGTGAAGTGAGCAGCGAAAATATAGCAAAGATTGTTAGGATTTTCTTTTCTATCTTCCTGAAGAAAATAAATGTGTAACATGGGAATTGATATTTCTTACTACTTTAAATTTTTCTTTATTTACTTAAGTATTAAATATTTTTTATGCCCAGGACTTTAATTCAAGGAGATAAGAAAGCAGGATTTACTATTTTTTGGGCTGATGATGGCTTGGACACTGGACCAATACTTCTGCAGCGAGAATGTGATGTTGGCCAAAATGATACCGTGGATGACCTATATAACCGGTTTCTCTTCCCAGAAGGAATAAAGGCCATGGTATGTTTAACTGTACTAAATACCACCTTTTAAAGAGAAAAAGAGGTTGAAACTGAAGGAAATACAGACAAGATGTATGTATTTGGAAAGACAGAGGTTGTGATACTCTGCCAAATCCTAGACTTCACTGGAGCTGTGCGGCTGCACAACAGCTGAGGATGTGACCTCAGAATATTTGTTGCTGACAGCAGGCAGAGCATATTCTGTTTCCACAGATGGCATGGCATGAAGCTGAATTTGTTTGGAATTTGGCTCTTTCCATACAAAACAAAATCTTTTAAAGACTCAGCAACAAAAAAAACAAAAAAAAAACCAAAATGAAACAAAAAAGTGTGATATTTTTAAGAAAAAAAGGTCAGTATAGTGTTTGAGGCTTGGAGTTCTGGTGGATTGCCTTTGGGTTTTCTATGCTTGTCACTTTTTTGTATTTTTTTGAAGTGAACGAAAGAAAATGCACAAAAAATACTCAGCATTTCTCCTTAGAGATTTTTTTTTTCTCCCTCCATTTGAATGCAAAAAAATAACTTTTTTTTGCAGAGAGAAAAAGGAAAAAGTTGAATGCAATCATACTGAGCCACACTTTTGTTCTGGAGAATTCAGACAGCTGCTCCAAGTTTGATGACTAGGTACTCCCATGAAATTCTGGAGGCTATTTCTTTTGTCAAAAAAGCTCAAGGAAACACCTTTATTCAAGGCAGCACTGGTGTCTTAGAGGTTGAAAATACTAGGTTTAAAATAACCCATACCAATTCACTTTGTGGCAGAGAGTCTTTTGCTGTCATTCCTAAGTATGACTGAGGGAATAAAAGTGAACCAAGCTAACATGAAATCTGTTACTTTTTCACGTAGGTGGAAGCTGTACATCTAATTGCTGATGGTAAGGCCCCTCGTATACCTCAGCCTAAAGAAGGGGCAACATATGAAGGGATCCAGAAGAAGGAAAATGCAGAGGTAATGTAAAGTAATACTATTTTTTTTGCATAGTACTAGAAAAAGTTATTAATTCAGATTACAGTAGCAGCAATATGAAGTTAACATGAATTTTAACTGAGTTGTTTCCTCACCTCTTTTTCCTGGAATACCTCTTAGGGTGCATGTAATGGAGCCTAGGTTAAGTTCCATTTTCCTTTCAACAGTTACATGTATTTAGAAACTTGGTGTCCTATTCAGGATCATGTACAGGCAGCTAAGAGGCAGCTGCAATTTCAGTGGATTCTTAGTAAGCCACCATACTTGTGAATACAACGTTGAATTAAGATCACTCTGTGTTTGCCAATAAGCCATATGAAATTCTCTACCAGAAATACATTTGATTTTAGGAAAAGAAAGTTCTGACACCTTTCCTTCTAGTGCCAAAAAATAACACAGGCGATATAAACAACAGATAAAAATATTAATTGAATTCCCATATGAGAATTACTTTATCAGAGCACCCCAACTGCATTAGATGATCTTGTCTGTGATTGGGAAGGTGTGGTGATGCATCCTGGCATGTCTTGATTTCCTAGATCTCCTGGGACCAACCTGCAGCAGCTTTGCACAATTGGATTCGAGGACATGATAAAGTGCCTGGAGCATGGACAACAATAAATGGACAGGTATGTTCTGAAAACCAGAAGAATATTCTTATCTATACTCACTTTTTGACCTTTTTTTTATTATAAAATTAAAGATGTCTGCATACAGGTGAATACAAATGGCTGCCACATTAGAGTAGCTCTAATCTGATGACTTTATGTTTTGTGTGCATCTAAAACAGGCACCTAAATACACAGAACACAGTAGTTAAGAGTTTTTTAATTGCAGAATTAATTTTATTTGAAGAAAGATAAGTACACTATCTTAAAAAATAAAGAGACATAGTACAAAGAGTAGAACCAAACTATGCCAGTCATTTTGGGAAGCATGTATACATTACAGTATAATACAGCCCGTGTACAGTGGCCAACATCACAGTATGGACAGCAAAATGAAACACAGTGGGCTGCTGAAATAACAGAGGGTTTCATTTTAAGGAGATTTGGGCCTAGATAGTTTGCAGAACTCTATGAAATATTATAGTGAGTGGTCCCTCAGTCTGGGCATGTCAGAAGTTCCTCCCTTTCCTGCACTGGTTGCAGCATGTACATTGTTACAGCTCAGCTGCTTTGCAGGTTTAGGCAATTTTCAAAGTTTTACATGTTCTGAGTTGTAAAGATCTAGAAATGTTGTAACATGTTTTCCATGTGTAGGTAATTATATTATATTTCTATTATACTGAAGATTCAAAACAGTATCATAAAATTGTTAAAATTTTACAGCATATTTAGAGCCTGTGCGCTTTTAATTACATTTCTTTTTAGGTGGTTACTTTTTATGGGTCATCATTACTTGATGCTTCAGTGCCTCCTGGACAAGAGTTGGCAATAAAAGGTGCTTCAAGACCAGGACTTGTGACTAAGAATGGTCTAGTCGTTTTTGGAAATGATGGGAAGATGGTAAGTGCTCAGTCTGGCAAACATAAGTATGGATGGAATAGTTTTAGTGAGCAGGGCAAGTAGTGTGGAACTGTCAAGCTGGATAAATCCAGGCACTAATGACTGACAGCAAATTCACTTAGAGTTTATCAATCCTCTGCCATCCTATAGAGAAGACATTCATGTTCTGCTTTTCACCCAATCCATAATCATTTCCTATATGGAATAAAATCTATTCTTTCTAGGTGAGAATATGAAAGACAGGTACGAGTGGCCTGTGCTAAATTGCCTGCATCACATCAGCTTTCCTGCAAGCCATTTATTTCACGATTTCAATCACTCTGTTAATACCTAAAAATCCTTCATCCAAGGATGTACTACCTCCCAAACAATTTAAAATCATATCCTCTCATTTTTCAGGTACTAGTGAGAAATCTGCAGTTTGAAGACGGAAAAATGATCCCCGCATCTAAATACTTCTCTGCTGATGAAACAACTGCCCTGGAACTTACAGAAGAGGAGAAAAAGATTGCAGAAGATATCAGAGTAATGCACTAAACTGCTTTAGAGGGATATTATTCAGACAAAAGCATTCATATATAATATGTATGTATTGCTTATATAATAAGCAATACATACTTATTTTTGGCAAGGCATATATTTTGTTTAGTCATGCAAATAATGTTTTTATAAAATATATTCAAAGTATATGGAAGCGAAGGTTTAGTTATTGATATTAATTCAGGTGGAATTGGGAATTCATGTGTATTTGTCTCACTTTACAATTTCCTTTCAGATACAAGTGATACAAAAACAGAGTGCAGGATGAGTAATGGTAAATATCTACAAATGATAGGTGGGAGTGAGGAAAAACAAACTGAGCTTCACCTCACAGAGTGAGGTTTTCAGCTCTGTCAGACTCAGGCAGTTCTTGGAATCCTTTTTTCACTCTGGTGTTCATCTCTAGGATGTGCTCAGAATGGGCCTGTTGGACAAGCTCCAGGGGTCTCAGAACAGCCTTGTGAAAGCAAAAGGCAGCAGTTTTCTCACTGTACCTGTGTGCACTTCTTCTGCCACAAACCACACACAAGAGGCTGGCTGCCAGAGGGATGGGAACAGCTGGAGCAGAAAACTCTCATAGCCAGAGAAGAATTTTTCTGCCCTCTCCTGAAATCCATCCCTCTGTAGTGTCAGGGGCTTAGCTGAAAGCCACATTTATCATTCAGGTTTTGTGCCAGAGCAAATGAATCATAGATGTCTTCCCTTGTGCTGACTCTGCTGCAGGGTTATTAATTTTTGGCAGAGGTCACGCAGCTTCATGTACTAATATTTTAAGCTGCTGATTCAAGATTGCCTTGAACCTGCTTGCCAGCAACCTAAATGCTGCCTGGAGCTATTGAATGGCTGAGAAAATTATGAAAAGAAGTATAAACTCATCAGTTGATGACAGTGCATGCTAACTGAGGAACTCAGTTATAATTAATTGAAATATGACATTGCCAGTTGCTGAACTGTTTATTTCTCCATCTCATGCATGCAGCTTAAACTACTTCTCAGCTTTGGCCAGGTGTCTGCAATGCCATTAATCCATTCATAAAGTGCCCCAGGCTGTCCTTGCCTACACTGATGACACATTCTGTAATGCAATGAGAACTTATTATTTGGAGGATAAAAAAATATTTTAAAGGTGGGCCTGAAAAATTTTAGCATTGCACCATTTAGGTTTCTTGCCTGATTGGGTAAAATTACCATGGACAAAATACTATTATTTTGATCATGTAATTATACTGAAAAATTTATTGTCTGACATAATGTCTCTAGACTGTTTTAGACACCCTTAAAATAACTTCATGTTTTAGAAACCTTTTAAATAACATACATTGTAGACACAGATACCATACAGATACAAATACAGTTTGAGAAATACTTTTTGCTATTAGAGGATTATTCATTATTGCCTCTGTTATTGTTCTGTATTATTAGGCTATTTGGAAGGGAATTTTAAGCAATATTGCTGTGATTGAGGATTCCACAGACTTCTTCAAATCTGGAGCATCCTCTATGCATGTTGTCAGGTAGGAATATTCAAAATAAGAAAATTCTAAAGCCAAAGTTAATGAAAAAAAGTTGTCATGGTGCATTTAAATCTGTGGTGTTAAAGAAATAACCCCTCTATATTTTCCAATACTCTTAATATTCCCTTTCTTATCTTGGAAACATGTACAGTTCTTCCCCCAAAGTTATGAGATACTGCTGTAATCCTGCTCTTTCTACTGAAGGAAAATTCCCCTTGACTTCAGGAACATCATGCCCAGGGGAGCACGGTGATGCTCAAACCAGTCTGCGTGCAGCCACAGGTATCTCCAGACCAGGGGATTGACTGGGAACCTGAGTAAAGACCTCCCCAGAGGGAAAGAGAAGCCTTTCACAGCAAGAACTGAGCCCATGCTTAAAGATGCACTGAGTTTGTCATGGCTTGGGTCATCTAGGTTGTCTTCTTTTTGCAGCACAAACCATAATATAAAACCAGCATTTTTAAACCAACTGATTAATGTGCTGATTACCTACCAAGCTCAATGTCCTCCATACATTGGTTGGAGGCGTCCCAAATAGTATTTTCTAATGGCATATCAATATTTTCTAGTAACTGATTGTCAAAAGTTTTTCTGAGAGTATTCCAGAAGTGACATTTTCTTTTTCATAGCATCAATGATTAAACCAACAGATTTCAGCAAAATGCATCACTTCTGTGCCCTTGCCAGAGAAACACACTCATATTCACATGAATACAAACTGAGACCCAATTTTGATCCCTTTTGCCCTTCTAATGATTCAGTTATCTGGAGAATTCTTACATTTTTAATTAAACTTACTCCCTTCAAAACCTTTAGGATGCTAGAAGAGATCAAACAGAAGCATTGTGGACTGCAGCTACAGAATGAAGATGTGTATATGGCCACTAAGTTTGCAGACTTTATTCAGATGGCTGTCAGAAAACTCAGAGGAGAAGACAAAGAAGAAGAGTTAGTCATTGATTATGTAAGGACTTAAATTTTTCACTTATTGCTTAATCTTTCCTGGGTTTTAGGGGAGGGCAGACAATGCATTTTATTAGGCTGCTTGATGCAGTAGGAAAGCCAAGAACTACTTGGTTATACAAACTTCTATATATTTGTATTTGTTTTCTATTACATTTTACTTCTACCAGCCAAATATTGGCTGGATATTGGCTGCAGATATCAAAAGCTTGTTAAGCTACATTAAAATATTAGTTATTATAATTTTAAAATAATTTGGGTTTTATTTCACCCAGGTTTCAAAAAATATGAACAACATGACTGTGAATATGCCATACCAATGTTTCATAAATGGGAAATTTATAGATGCTGATGATGGGAAAACATATGACACTATAAATCCAGCAGATGGATCAGTAAGTAACTGCCAAATATGATCGATACCAGTTTATTTCATTGTTTTTGTCTATTAAAAAATCTGAAACATTACCTGAATATAGCAAATTTTAAAACAACATACTAAATTAAACAACCTCTAGAAATGTTTCAATTTACTTCACATTTTGCATATTCTACAATTTTTTTCCATTTGAGTCAAGATGCAAAGCAAAAAGAACCTACTTCCACTTCAAATATTACATTGCTTTTCACACCCAGCTGAATATTTTACTTTGATTTCATTCTTGTTTAGCTTTGTAAACAGAAATTGCTGAAGTTTATTTGGTAAAGAAGTGTTTCTTCTAGGATATTTGGCATTTCCTGTCGGTTATCAGCTTTTTTTTTTTTAATTTTTTTTTGTTTGTTTGTTTTGCTTTTTTATTACTTTTTACCTTAGGGTAATTTTAATTTTGTCCCTTTAAATTCTCAGTAAGAAAAATAACTTTTCAATAGGAAAATACATACTGTTGCACTTTAGTCCTGAACTACCCAATATTGGTTGAGCAAATCCTAACTTTGAATTATAAATGAGATAAGTGAATCTGATGGCCATGTAATTGCCATTTAATTCTGAAGTAAATTAATTCTGCTGAAATCAATGACACAAATTTCACTATCATCAGATATCAGACTTTGATATACTTTTCCTGAAACTCATTATAGAACGGAATAAAAGTCATAACCATTTTGTGTTAGGATTTACAATGTGTGCATTTACAACACAATAATCATAAAATACTGTGTGTTTATGGTGGTTTATGATAACAGAAGCTCCATTCCTTAGAAACTGGACATGTGGGAATTGTTTTAGCATGTTTAGATACTTAGATTGTGATACCACATATGAAGACTTCCAGCTTTTGTAATACCACATTGGTTTTATATACAGAAAGAGAGGGTGAGATCCAGTGGGACAATGCACCTTGCTTTGAAAAGAAAAAGCAAGATTAAGGAATCTGAGTTCCTGCAGTGTTCCTGCCACCTCAATTGTGCCTGAGCTTTTTGCAGCCTGGCTCACTCATGACAAGTGCTACAGATGAGGATTAAGTATTTGCTTATACCCAGTCTAGAAGTTTGGGAGGAAGGAGTAACACTGCATCCCAATGTTTCTTTTTGAGCTAACACAATGCTACCTTTGCACAGGTAATAGCCAGTGTATCTTCTGCCTCCCTGGCTGATGTTGACAAGGCAGTGGCAGCAGCAAAGGAGGCATTTGAAAATGGTGAATGGGGGAGGATGAATGCAAGGGAAAGAGGGCGACTCATGTACAGGTATGTAAAGACAGCTTGCATTTGTTTCATTTCCTCAGGTCTTGTTTTGTTTCTCTGAAGAATTGTTAGGTACATTTTCTGAAGGTGATGGATGTTCATAATCCCACTGTCAGTGGATCCAGACTAGCCATGTTTTCACCCCCTGACTGATTTCAGTGTACCAGCCTCAGCTCTTCACCTGCCAACCTTTCTTGTGTCAGAGAGGAATCTTGTGGTCTCTCACTGATGCCATTCTTTCATTATTACTTATGAACGGAAGCAAAGGATTTGAGCAAAATATATTTTAAATACTTGATGTCTTCATTTAATCTGCATGAGTTTGATTGCAAGGATTGAGAATTCCCTTGTAAATCCCCATTCTTCCATATAAGTGAGGCTAAGCTTTAAAAACAGTCTACCTGAGTTAGGTAGGCAGAGATTTGACCTTGCTATACCTGCCTGCATGTGCACTCCATACAGTAAATATACAGCTACATTGCCACTAATTTTGAAGTAGACTGAAACTGATGCTAGATTTTTCCAGAATCATATGCCAGCATCTGGCTAAAGACTCACTGTAGGAGATGTGTTATGGTCTGTAGAAGAATTGTCCTGTGCAGGGATTCTTTAACCTAATTCCAATATTTACCTGAGATACTTTTATATCTTTTTTGTATCTATCTCACCATATCTAGTTAATGCCTGATTCTTATTTTTGGCTTATTTTTGCTATTGGTTCAGAAGATAAGCAGAGGTTTTGTATTAATGGTATTTTAATGGTGAGCTTTGATTCTTGAAGGAGTAGAGATGATCTTGGAAAGATGCAATGCTGACTAGATAGTGTGAGCGTGACACTGGAGGCAGCTAATAAAACTCCAAGTATTGTAGATTCTCCATATGCAGTATGATGCTTCTCCCAGGCACAAAGAGAACACTGTATTGCAAACTTCAGGTGACTAGAAGCATCAGAGCTTCTCTGTAAAGAAAGCCACTTTTGTGGGCTATATGAAAAGCTTTTGTTGCTTTCTCAGGTCTAAACATGCAAATGAATGAGCAGACATGAGTAAAGAAGCTACTTTTTCAGATTGCTACTCCTGAAAAAATGCCACATTTTACAAGACATTGCAGGAATCTTAGCAAAAAAGAATGAAAGCAAAGCCAAAAATTCTGCTTATCTTATAAAGTATGTGACCAGGCCATGGAAAAAGGCCTGCAGGACCCTTACACAGTTAGTAGTCCTCACAAGAGAAAATGGGCAAGTCAGAACTGAACATTAAATACACCTCGTCACTTATTTTTTTCACAAGTGTGCAGATATTCAAAGAATGCATAAACTTGTGTTTAATTTGTATCAGGAATGTAGAGTGCTTGAGAGACCAAGTTAACTCTGGCCTAAAGACAAAATTTTAAGGTGTGAAAACTCCTGCTCTGTTTTAGACTTGGAAGATTTGCAAGAATTAGCTATATTAGATACATGAAAAATACAGTTCCCCTACACTGGGTTGATTATCCCTGGATTAAAAGCTTTGCTTAGGGAACTCATTCTCTAGGATAAAACACCAGAGTGTTTATGTTGGAAACATTCCCAGTGGATAAAAGCTCTCTCTGGACCACCTTAACTGAAATAAACCCCCTTCTTCTTGGCCTCTGTTCAAACTGGAGATTTGGAGTGCTGAACTAAAGAGAATATTTGTGTCATTAAAGCTCCTAGCCCTGCTGCTGTCTTAAAGAATCATTAATAGAAGATATTAAGCACACTTTAAATGGAACCTTCTTCTTTGTCCCTGACATGCCCAAATCCATTCTCTTACTCAACACTGCCAACGCCCTGACCTGTAGTTGGGTCTCCAAGATACAGTTAAAACAGGTATTAAAGAACATTTTCCCACATCTCTGCAAATCCTTTAAATAGCCAGAATTTACATAATGGAAAAATTTCACAAGTTTCACACCCAGTTTTGAATACTTTTTACAGGATCAAAAATGCACTTTTCTTAAGGTCTTAAAATCACATGGGAACATTGATTATATATCTGAGTACCAAATCACAGAAGAAGCTGAAGAAAAACATTAATGAATGTGAGACAATGTGAAGAACTGAATATGAAAATTCATTGATGCAAACAGACCTGAATAGGGGATCAAAAAACTAACAGTAGTGCCTCACAGGTATAGGTATCAATACGTGCGGATGTATTTTTGAGACACTTTCATAGTTATTATCAACTTAGTAATACTTACTACAGTCTTACTTACACCTCAAGTGAGCTTGCACAGTTCATGTCTTCATTCGGCCTCTACTAAAGCCAGTGTGAAGACATTTGCAGAGTGAGGGCAATTGTTCAATCCTTTGCTGATATTAAGGAGCAGTGCCTCTACCTCAAATTTAGTGGGAATGCTATTTTCATTATGCTTCTTTGCCACACCTAATATAATTTTAGATATCATTTCCTTTAATGTGGATTTTTAACATTTTTTTAAAGACTTGCAGACCTGATGGAAGAACATCAAGAAGAGTTAGCAACAATAGAGTCTATTGATTCAGGAGCTGTCTACACTTTAGCTCTGAAGACTCATATTGGAATGTCTGTGCAAACATTCAGATACTTTGCTGGATGGTGTGACAAAATTCAGGCAAGTGAATATGTAAATGAAATTACCAATGGCAGTGCTTTTCTACACTTCTTTTTTGTTGTTATTCTCCAGAAACAGTGCCAAAAAGCAGTAAAAGCAAAGAGTAACTGAGGAATCAAAACTAAAGCAAAATTAGAATTTTACCTAGAATGAGTCTCCCTGTCAATACAAAAGGATATAGTCCACCTCCAGCTGGAGAACATGGATTTAGAATGTGGCTCTGAATATCGAAGCAATCAGCTGAGGTGTCACTTGGATATACTTGCTTGGTCAGCTCTTGGTTATTCATGGGGCAGAATGTCACTGTGCTCATTATGCAGGTGAGTGCAGAGACTTGTGCTTTACCACAGTCTGACCAAGGCTGGTGAGTTTGCTTGATGGCACAGCATTTCCTCCAGTATTTTTAAGACTAATCAAGAATATCAGAATATCATCCAGCTTTTTTTTTTTTTTTTCCTGACAATCAGGACTTGATTACAATATCCACAGCAGGAATACAGTAGAAGCATCTGTGCCCCTTTCCCTGATGCAAAAATGCTTGTGGTTTTGAAGCCTACTGTGTAGCTTTCTGAAACATATTTACATGGCAAATATATTTGCAATAAAAATAATAAATAAATATGAAGATTTGTCCCTCCTCTGTCTTTTAGGGTGCTACAATTCCAATTAATCAGGCCCGGCCAAACCATAATCTAACATTCACCAAGAAAGAGCCAATTGGGTGAGTATTGCTTTTTCTTCTTAATGACAACTTGACGTGCAGAAAAGCCATGGAAAAGCTGCCCTCAAATATATAATCTTTCCCTGTTTTTCCCTACCTGAAGTGTCTGTGCAATTATTATCCCCTGGAATTACCCACTGATGATGCTTGCGTGGAAGAGTGCAGCGTGCTTGGCTGCAGGCAACACCCTTGTACTCAAACCAGCTCAGGTAGGGGCAAAAAGAAATACACAGATGGCCCAGATGCCCCTGTTCAGGCAGAATGATTCAGGCCATGTGGCAGATTTTACCCATAGATTGATCTGTCATAGGTTGACTGTGTCACATATTTGAAAGTGCATTTAGAATAATAGAAATTACCATGGTGATACAAAGTATTGTTTGACTCCTATTCTGCTCCGGCATTAATCTTATTTTCAATAATTAATTTTCCATAAGAAGCCATCAGTTCTAATTTGCCAATACTGTAAGAAGGTGAATATTGTATCAAAACTAAGATGTATTGAATGTAAAAGGTATCATCATGCATTTAAATAAAACAGGAGGCCTAATCTAAATGTTTCTACTTAGGTCACACCTCTGACTTCCTTGAAGTTTGCAGAACTCTCAGCTAAAGCTGGATTTCCTAAGGGCGTTATAAATATTCTGCCTGGTTCAGGTAAAGCTTGAACTCATCATTTTTCTGGGAGAGGTCATGCTAAAACTAGTGAAGTTCTTCACCTTTTTGAAGATTATTACATAGGCCTGTTCACAGGTACTAGGCTTGCATCTTTTCATGCAGCAATTTCACGTGTTTCCAGAAGAGAACTGGAAAAATCTGCCTTTAGTTAGTGGTAGGATCTGTCAGCCTACACCCTTTACAAGCTCACACAATTGACACAAACACTCTGGAAAATAATGTATTACAGACAAACATGTTCATTTCATTGTAAGAAAGCTGCAAATATAAATAGGGATGTGATACTGTATTTGATTTGTGGTGTGAGCTCCTTCTGTGTTACAGTGCTGCTGCTGGAATAGTAAAAATTGTCCATGTACCATCCAGTTACTCTGCTTTCCTCGCCCTGATAGGTGGCTTAGTGGGACAGCACCTCTCTGAACATCCAGATGTTCGCAAAGTTGGATTCACTGGTTCAACACCAACTGGTAAACAGATCATGAAGAGGTACTCTCAGCAGAAGAATCATAAATAAACCCTGCTTAGTCTGGTTCTGAAGTATCTTACTGGATATACTGTGCATGTAGCAGTAATGAAAAAGCATAACTACATATGGTTGTTTACCACTATGTAGAATTCTACCAAGTAATTACTGGACAATAGAGATTTATACATTTTCACTGCTTATGATTCAAAGGAAATAACAGAAAAAGATATTTAAAATTACTATTTTGGGTTTATATCACTTTTTTTTTTTTTTTTTTACAGTGCAGCTACTAACCTGAAGAAAGTTTCTCTGGAACTTGGTGGAAAATCACCATTGATCATATTCAGTGACTGTGAACTTGACAGAGCCGTAAAAATGGTAATGTTACTTTGAAGTAAAATTTGTTCAAAGCCTTTGTGGTACATCCTCACCGTACTGCAATATTCTTGACTTGCAAAAAAAAAATACTAGGGATCCTTTGCATGAAAAACTTTGAGATCTGTTAGAAAACAGATTCAGATATTTCTTTATGCCAGCACAATTTAACTATTCATGCTGCCCAAGAAATATACATTAGAAATTACAACAAAACAAAGATTTGAGCTCCCTATTACCATATAGCTTTTAGTTAATCAATTGATCAATCAATCATTCATCAATTATCAATCATAATCATCACCTTCCCTACCAGCCATATTGTGTTCACAGTTCATAAATAAGATGTTGCATTGGTGATATGATTTAACATAAAGCATTAAACTTCTTGGGTGATAAACACTGCATGCAACCTTAGGGAACAGAATGGAGACTGAACAAAATGCATATAAATATTTATGGTTTTTTTCCTGATCAGGGTATGGGAGCAGTGTATTTCAACAAAGGAGAAAACTGCATTGCAGCTGGCAGGCTGTTTGTGGAAGAATCAATTCATGATGAATTTGTTAGAAAAGTGGTAAGATATTCAAGGACTAAAGTTTAAGCATATGTTTTACTGTGGCAGAAGGATAGGCTAGCTTTATAGACACTTGTGTTTCTTATTTTCAATTGCTTAATTTTGCATTATTGCTTATGATAGACAGTGCTACTTCTCAGGAACCTCTTACACAGTTAAAAGGAAGCATTGAAGAGAGATATTTGCACCAGTAATGCACAGATAAGTGACAGTTAAATAGATATTGTACCTTCAGTGATAGTTCATATTTGACTGGGCAAATAAGATTACAAATAATTACTGAACTCAGGTCAATGTGATTGAAGAAGGCTTCTGTAAAGTAAAAAAAAAAAGGAATATTGGAAGCACAGCTAGAAGAATACAAAGGTCCCTATTAAAAATGCAATTGTCACCATCCTGTGCCACTGGAGAATTAATTTATTTTCCTTAAGAACAGGAAATCACTGTCTTAAGTAATTTACCACCAGTAAAAGTTAACATTTTACATGCTTATCTTAATAGCAGAAGAGAATACACACATAAACAAAGCATTAAAAACTTTCAGAATTAGAGATTATGAACAAAAGACAAAGCTTCATTTTAAAAAGGGAGAATGATTGTATCTAAGAATCCAGTATTTTCTTAGATTCAATCTTCATAGCACCAAAAATTGCAGCATTCCAAATTTATGGTCACTTTAACAATATTGTTGTGTTATGTAACTTCATTTTAATTGCGTAACCCATAGGTTGAAGAAATAAAAAAGATGAAAATTGGTGACCCACTTGATAGATCTACAGATCATGGTCCGCAAAATCACAAGGCACATTTGGAAAAGCTGCTGCAATACTGTGAAGCTGGAGTAAAAGAAGGAGCCACTCTAGTGTATGGAGGAAGACAAGTACATAGACCAGGTAAAACACTTTCCAGAGATATTTAGAACTTTTACACTTTATGCAAGAGCTGCCACAGTTGTCTCAGCTGGATTTTGTGAAGTTGCAGTATCATGGGAACAGTACCAGGCAAGCCCATACCACAGAGCTTTCAAATCTCATATGACGAGAAGCTGTGCAAATGAAGCATGAGATCTCTATTTAGATCTTACAATCTATCTTCTTGTTGGATAGCAAGAAAAGCAGTGGCCTCTGTGACTTGCTGTAACCTTGTTCTCCTGCTGTCAGAGTACAGAGTCTTCCCTCTGGGAGTCACCTGGGCTGTGGCACGCAGACCTTCTGGCCTGGCAGGGAGCAGTACATGTCACTGATCAACACAGGCCATTCTTTTACCCTTTTGTGTGCCATTTCTCTTGAAGTGCATGCATTTCCATTCATACTTCATTCATATCTATTTTCTGTTTCAAGTTATGACCTCAAAGCATGGGACAGAAATGACCTGACAACAGCAAACCCTTAAGCACTTTTACCATGCTCAAATGCTGCTCTATCTTCTCTTTAGGTTTCTTCATGGAACCCACTGTATTCACAGATGTTGAAGACCATATGTATATTGCCCAGGAAGAATCCTTTGGTCCTGTGATGGTCATCTCTAAATTTAAAAACGGGTACATTCTCCTCTGGTTACTGTTAGAGACTTGATGTTTCCCATTTTCACCCTAAGTGAAGAAATGACAGCTCACACAGCATTTTGTTAAATCTCCTTAGACCAATCTGAATACCTAGTAGTTTTCAGTGAAACGTTTTAGTGAAGTTTGTGCGATAATTGCAACAACTTGATCAAATAACAAAAATGCATATTTTTCCCAGTGGAATTACTTATTTTTCCTGTTACAGAAGACTGCAATGTTGTGTATTGTGTAACACTAGCACATAACTGTTGCAAATGAAAATTCCTCTGTATATTTTGTAAACTGTCATTTTTAATACCTTTCATTCCAGATCATAAGAATTATTTAACATACAGATAAGATTAAAACCCTACATAGAAACTTCACATAAATATTTCTATCAGGTTTCATCTTCTGCAGTTTGATAATAAAGTTAAGAACCAGCCATGTAGATAACCCTTCACATCCATAAATTCTGCAGTCTTAAGAGACTGCATTGAATTTTTTAAAGTTTTAAACTCCTATTAATTTTTTGAAGCTGTATGAAGATGCAGATGGAAAATAGTACTCTGGAAATGGTTTGAAAAGTTGTCTTGATAGCAGTTTAAATTCCAGCTTTTATTCTGCATTAACTTGTAAAGCTGGACAAAATTTTAGCAAACTGATTCGTCATCTGCTGCCATGCTCTGCTTTACAGGCATTTTTGTATTGCTCTAATTCCCAAGTTGTACAGTAGCAGCAATTCCCATGGCATTTCTCAGTGTAGACATTAACCTTTGAAAAGTGAGGTTATGAGCTTCACAAGCTTGAAGCAAAGGTATGAATTGCTGTGGATCTGTCAGATTGACACACAGATTTGTCCTTAATAAGTCATCTTTAAAAAAGCTCACTGGAGAAGAAAGACCATGTGAAAAGTTGCTTCAATGACACTGAAGGTGGAAGGTTGCTAACACTTGTTTATTTTACCTACTTGTAATTAAATAATTTCTTTCCCCCATAGGGATGTCGATGGAGTATTGCGACGGGCAAATGCCACAGAATATGGCTTAGCTTCAGGAGTTTTCACAAAAGACATAAACAAAGCTCTCTACATCAGTGAAAAGCTAGAAGCTGGGACAGTTTTTATTAACACTTACAACAAAACTGATGTGGCAGCGCCATTTGGTGGATTTAAGCTGTCTGGCTTTGGGAAAGATTTAGGTAAGTTGTCTCCTTCCCTCATTTCTTGTCTCAGAGTCCTAATCAATGAAAGAATTATAATACAGTAACCCAATTCCTCTCCTTCCCTAAATATTCCCACTTCAATACCTCCCATTCAGCCTTTGCTGTATATTTACTAAATAACACAAAAATATTCCTCTCTGACTGCTCTGAGAGCAGACAAATAAATTACAGCTTTTGCAGAGCTCTGTACAGGCTACAAAGGCTATCAAATAATAATGGTATTGCCCCAAATACTCTTTCCCTCAGAGAGAATGCTAATATAGGTTTCTCCTCTAAATAAGAGAATGGGAAACCTTTTTATACCTTAAAATGTCACCAAAATTTGCCAACAGCCATAGAAAAAGATGCATTAAAAAATATTCTCTTTTCAAAACAACTTTTTAGAAAAGTGAAGTCCACTGTGTCAAAGAAGCTTGGCAAGTCTTAACAGATCAAGCTTCATGACAGAGAAAAAAAGAAAACCAAATTTCATTCACAGAACAGATTTTTGCTTTTGCAATCTCCAAAGACAGTTCCGAAAACCAAAATGAGTAATGATGTCAGGGAAAAAAACATTACTGCTTTTCACACAGCTTCTCTACCTATGACCTTTAATAGAGGAGAAGCAAAGTTCATAAATTCAGCTATGAGCCCCCAGTGGCCATCTAAAGACTGCTGCTGCTTGGGGAGCTGCTTGTTAAACTCCAGCTCCTTTTTCTTCCATATCTGTTGGATCTGGCCTCTACTCAAACCAGGTCTGTGTAAATCACAGTGGAAAGGTAATTAGTTTTCATTGTTCCTTAAGGACTCGAATATTGGCTACAGTGTTTCAATTTTTTCCTTAATAATAGTTACAATCTGACAAAATTCATTTAGCTGCTGTTCTAACAGGTGAATATTGTGTTTGTACAGGTGAAGAAGCTCTTCATGAATATCTCAGAACAAAAGCCATCACTGTGGAATATTAAAGTAACAGCTCCACTTGGGAAGCAGACTTTCAACAGAGTTTGAATTTTGTTGAGTACACAAAGCACTCGATACCACACCTAGGATATGCTGTCTGCAGTGCTACAACCAAAAAAAAACTAAGTAAAATACTCATTCCATGGATATGTTTCTATAAATTAGGTCCAGATTTTAATCTCACAGACAATAGCTTTTGGAAATCACCCTGAAGTTATTTAAATTATGTAGCAGCAACAGTTGGTAGCACAATTTCCCCCCATCCCCCCCCCCACCAAAACCCTCCACGAATATGGTTCAGTTTCTTTTTTTAAAATAGAACTGAAGAATAAGTTCTCACACACCTACTTTATATTTCTGTGACATAATGTTTACATGATAATTTAAAATCCTTAGTCATTAGGCTTCCAAAGTTGAACTAAAATATACTCATTATGCCATTTTTGCTATAAACCAGTTCAGGGTTCATGGTAGCAGTTAAACACTCTGCTCTGGTGACTTTTCAGCAGTACAGAAAACCTTTGTGCCATAAGAAGTAAATCAATGCAAGGAAGTGCACTTACTATGATCTTTGTATAGTACATACAGAGTTCAATATTGGTGTTAAACTATGCATATCAAGCTAAAGTTACTGAAAATATTTTCTACCTTTTTGTTGATACAGAATGTGTGATCTGCCTGCAATTTGAAAGGTGGTTACATTAATGGATTAAAAACACATTTTGTGTCTGTGAACATGGACTGTAATAACTGTTTCATACTGTATGATTATTACTATGTATTTCACAATTTTGGGTTCTTTGTAATCTCTGGGAAAATCCCTTGTTAAATGACCAAGGTGAAATGAAAGGTGGCTTTCAAACTTTTTTCAGTTTGGAAGAAATTTTCTATAGATTGAGACCTTATTTAACTAAGCCTGTTAAGACTCCTTGCTCTTAGAATGGAAAAACACCCAAAGCTTCATTTATCTGTGGGCTGCTATTAACGGTAGTAGTCTAATTCTTTGATCCTCATCCTTCCCCTTCACTAAAATATTCCATGGTTTAATCAGTAAATCATGTCTCCATCTTATATTTAAGCCACATTGTAAAAGAAAGACTAGAATCCTTGTTATTTCTTACCACAAATACTACACAAACAGGTATTAAAACTAGAACTTTAGGTACAGGTTTCAAAATAAATTCTATACATAACTGCAGGTTTCAAGCCATGACATTCAGTTTAATATTTGAGCAAATACAGTATAGAAACTTTTACTTTAATGGTATAGAAAATACAAAGTTCCTTTAAGAAACAATGACATCCAGGAGCATGACAGATATTTCTGAAATGCAAACTGATATATGAAGTAAATGTAGTAGTCCAAACAAACCATTGTACTTGATCGAGGTAAGTATAAATGGGACACACTTTCACTGACTGGTTCCACAATTGTGTCTAGGCAATTTAAGTACAGGCCAGCTGAAAATTCACCTTTCCATCCTTCTGTCAGTGACCGTTAACAAAATGGAAACTGGAAACGTGGCAGGGAATTTGGGGGATGCAAAGTGTAGCTTAAAGCCATCACAAGCCCCCAGGGACAGCCTTGATCCTTTTAGTATGGAGGTGTTTGCACTGCAGCCACGAAGGTTTCCCACGGGAGCCTGTAAGCTCCCGTGCTGCTGTGGAGCCCAGTGCAGGCACACAGGGTAAGGACTGAGTCACCCTTTGCTGAAATCTGCTCATGGCTGTCCTTACCCAGGCTGGCTCAGCTAGAAATGAGCTCAGCCACGGCTCTGGTGTCCAGCATGAATGCAATGTAGACATACCTCTGGGGTACTGAAAGATCATGTTTAATAGTGAAGAGAGTGTACATAACACCTCACAGGACATGGACTATGAAAACAAAGCTTTTTTCCTAGTTAACTCTTTCTTACCCTTGAAGCAAAAACTGCTATCTTCCTATAAAAACAGTCTTCAACAAAGCAACAGAACAAGAATGTTTATCTTTCAAGTGCCCCTTACTCTAGCTGTTTTCTTGCTGTAAACTACTCTGAAGCCCATTTTCCTGTTATTTGATGAGTCAAATTGAACTTAATTCTTCAGAAATCCAGCCTTCCCCAGCCATGAGTGGATCCTGAATTCTCCACCACATAAACTATAGCATTTCACAGGATCCCAAGAAATGCTACACTGGGAAACAAAGTGGTTTTAAGGGCCAACTCTTCAAAGTGAGAAAACATGATTTGGTCGGTTTGGGGATTTTTAAAGCAAAATAAAATGGGATTACTCATTTGCTTTGCTGTCCAAAATTTCTATTTTGCCCTTTTCTCCCTTTTGTTTAGGAAACTTAATGTTGTCTACTGTCACTTCATCAGTTACAGAGTCATCTTCATCAGATTCCGAGTCATCTTCTGAAGTCAGCAACTCTTCATCTGTATCAGAATCACTCAGTTCAACTACAGCCACATTCTGGAACAAAAAATCTTGGTTAGCACATTATATATACTACATACATATATATATATATATATATATATATACACACACATTACAGCACTTCTATCACTGGAGTAAAACAAGGTGAACACATTAAACAGCCTGCTACCATGAGAAACTAACCACAACAAAAAAGCCCTTTGGGGTTTCCTAGGATTTTACAAATATCATTAAGAGATTCCTAAATATTACTGGCCTATAGGAAATCTAAGACCATATTCATATCACTTTCAAAGAAAGAACTGAGTCAATAGCTGAACTCAGATTATCTAAATCAGGTATTTACACTGACAAGCAGCAGGCATCAAAACTACTATTCAGTAAAAAAATTCAAACGAAATCATTTAGTGTATAAGGGCTCATGACAAACATACAAACACATGTAGGCATATATATATTAATATAATTTATATCTTATAATGTAGTAGTATTCAGGGCACCACAACTACTCTAAAATAACAAGCAGTTTAAACCACCAGGATATTTTTTGAAGACATTTCATATATCCATATACAGAGCCATAATTTTTGAGGCCTGCTTAGCCAGAAAGGATTTGGCTGGGTCATGCACATATATCGCCTTCAAAATAAAGTTTTCTTATATAAGCATATGCCTGCAGCACTTCAGTTAAAACCAGAAATAAAATATTATAAAGTGACTGCAAATAAATAGACAAATTCCAGCAACAGATGATCACAACAACACTAACAACTCTTCTAAATCCAAGATCTAGTAATTCCTAAAAATACCAACAGAGCAGAGCTGAAAGCCAGTTATTACTCTTATTCTAAAGCCTTCTGTTATGCTTTATATTGTCCAGTTTCTAAACATAATCACCTAGGAGACATTTAAAATACAATTTGTGACTTTTGATTCAGAGTTGTAGATTCAACAGCATGTCTTACTCCGTTCTTAAACTACTTGATCCCTAGTGATTAAATTCTGCAAGTATGAAAACCAGGATGCAAATTTCAACCAAATAAGCATGTTTAGTTATATCTGTGTTTTGAATTAGAACATCAAAGACTTGGTAAAGAAAATGGTCAAGACTTCACTTTATCTATCATATTACTCATTCTAAGATCAGAGAGTTATTTTAATCCCATCTATATTTACATTAAAATAATAAAAAAAACATTTACCATTTCTATAACTTTTTCTGTTTCACTGTCTAGATGTTCAATATCAAACTCATGAGCAGGTGCTGTTACCATTTTTCTTTTGAGCTCATCATTTGCCTGGGCCATCTGTGGTAAAAAGCTCTGCACTCGGTCCAAAACTGAAAAGAAACAATTATCACAGATATATTTATATATAAATATAAATGTAAGTCAAAGAGATGTTCATTAGTGTTCACATTTATACCTCAGATATGAGCCTTTATAACTGATTCTGTTTCAACTGTAATTTCTGACTATCTGCAATAATTAAGTATAGACTGAAGGTCTCAAAGAAGATGGAAAAATTTGCCGTAGCAGATGCCATAATAGACCAATGAAAGGTCAACATAGTTAACAAAAGAAGTTCTGAAATTAAGACAGTGGGAGAAAGATGGAAACTCCAGGCTGAAGTATAAAGCACTCATCCTCTACAGCTCAGTAGGACTTCACAAGAATTTTAAGGTAATCAATGGAATTAGGAGATTCACACTCATAACCCTTCCATGGAGAAAGACAGTATTTTCACCTCCAGAATTTCTTCAAATAAACTGCTCCACACATGCAGATGAGTCAAGCACTAGTTTTCTTTCTTTAAGAAGAGGTACTGTTTCAGGTAAGCACCACAAAGCCTAACAAGTATAAGCTATCTTTGAAACACTGTCATCTTTGTAGAGATTTTTATCCAATAAAGAATTTGATCGAACAATCTTTTAAAATTTCAGCTCAATCACAAAACATAAAAAAAATAATTTGACAGGAGTCCTTTTTAAATTAAATGCTTTTATACAACAAATACATCATACTGAGAAATTACTTCTAAAAGAGATAAGAAGCCCAAGCTACAACTCCATACTGGGAAAGAACCATCTGTCCCTAAAACTCAAGAGCTGTAATGCCTAGCATTGCAAAATCTAATTTTGCAGCAGCAGCAGCATTTACGTGACTCACCAGTGGGACATGGAACTGTAATGGGAGGAGAACCTACTATCTCTAGAAACTGAACCCAAAAGCTTCTCTCTTTACCTTTTAAAGGAAAGCACCAAAGCAAAAGCTGTGTCACAAATGTTACCTACTACTTGACCACTTCCAGCGACAACTCCTCCTTACTTACCATTGCTCCTTGGCACCTTAATAGTCTGTAAAGTTGTGGCATTCTTGCTGCTACATTTTGAATTAATCAGCAAAATGTCTTCCAGCCCTGCAAACAAACAAACGAGTATTGAACTGCTTAAGCTGACAAGTTTTCCGTAATTACCATCTGCTTTTGCTGCTCTTGGAAGAAAACTGGGCTGCACAGGTTCTCACCCTGCAGGCCACCTCTCACACACTCCAGTTTAAGCTGAAGTTCCTTAAGCCGTTTTTGAGACAGTTTAATTAAGCTAAAGTTAAAACGCATGAAAAACAACCTCTAATCCCCCTCTGCGAGGCTCGGTGAGGTGGGAGCTGAGGCGCGCCAGTCGCACCGATTAAATCCCGGTGCCAGCGACCTCCACTAACTGTGGGCAGCCGGGAAACCCAAACGATGCCAGGAATTCGGCATTAATGACCCATTAATTATCCTTATGACGGCCGGCGGAGCCATCCGCCCGGCATCATTCACCAAAGCGCACCGCTCTATTTAACTTTTCTCTCCGGTCACATAGAAGCGTCCTTACGACTGCCCATAGCTCAGCGCGGATTTCCCCGCTTATCTACTCCGCATTACCCCTCCCCGGAGGGCAGCTCTTCAGTACACGCGGGACGCGATCACCAGCGGGGCACGGGCGGCACCACGAGCAGCGTGGCCGAGCCGAGCTCCCGCTGGCTGCAGGCGGCGCCGGGCTCGCCGTGCCGGGGCCGGGCTCACTCACCTGGCCGGGGCCGGACTCACTCACTCACCTGGCCGGGGCCGGGCTCACTCGCCGTGCCGGGGCCGGACTCACTCACTCACCTGGCCGGGGCCGGGCTCACTCACTCACCTGGCCGGGGCCGCACGTCCAGCAGCTCCCGGGCCGCCGCCGCGCCGCCGCGGCCCGCCATGCGCCCGCCCGCGCGGAAGGGGAGCGGCCCGCGCGCCCGGCCGCGCGCGCCCCCCGGCGGGCGGGAGGAGCAGCGGAGGCCGCGGCCGCTGCAGGCCGGCGTAGCCCGGGAGAGGCGGCTGAGGGGAGATGGCGCCACTCAACATGAGCACGTCAAGGGAGGGTGGCAAGAGGATGGAGCCAGGCTCTTCTTGGTGGCACCGAGCAACAGGACAAGAGGCAGGAACCGATGCGCAGCAAGTTCCACCTGAACATGAGGAAGAACTTCTTTACTGTGCAAGTGACCACGCGCCTAGAACACATTGCCCAGGGATGTTGTGGAGTCTCCCATACTGGAGATATTCAAAAACTGTTCAGACACAATTCTGTGTAAAGTGCTCAAGTACAACGCTGCTTAAGCAGGGAGGTTGTACCAGATGATCCACTATGGTCCCTTCCAACCTGACTGATTCTGTGATTTGGCACAAAAAGTCCATCCCATCACCATTAAAAACCTGTGGAACCAAGCTGCCAGCAGGTAACTACTGTAAATGCAGACGAACACAATGGGAAGAAATGACAATGTCTGACTCAATTCAGAAGGCTGAATTATTTCTTTATTATCACTATGCTAAAATACATTAATATACTATATAAAAGGAGAATACTAAAACTACATTCTACTTTCTCTGACTCTAACTCTCCCACAACTTGTGACCCTCTCGCGAGAGTCCGGACACAGATGGATTGGATTGGCCATCAGGCTCAAACAATCTCACCAGAATCCAATCAAGCACTCACTCCAGGTAAACAATTCTCCAAACACATTCCACATAGGAAAAACAAGGAGCAGAAATAGAAATTGTTTTCTCTTTCATTTCTCTCTGTGCACCTCTATGAAAAATCCTGAGAGGGAGAGAAATGTGCTTGCCACAGGTAACATCATTTGAATGCCTGTCAGTAGCTGCTTATCTCTCAAAACTCTCCCATTTTCATTTTCAGAATTTGATAGATGAACTTAAAAGTTAAATGCCAGACCCTGAGAGAGCTGTAATCATCCTCTGGAAAACAAACTTACACAACCACCAAGTTCAACTGACACTGTCCAGTCTGTTATTCAGGATTTCTTCTGCAGTTTCTGTCTTTGCATATCTAGACAATATGAAAAATGCAAAAAGAAAATTGAATGGTTTATAAGAAACAAGATAGGAAGTCCAAGATGAAAATGAGAATAAATAGTAATCAGGTAAGTGGTGTTTATAGGCCCTCATTGCAAAGAACACAGGAAAAAACCAAATCACCCAGATCCCAGTATCTTGGAATTAACATGAATAAGAAGCAAACCTCTGCAAGGCCTCAAGCAAGAGACCACCCTGCTGTTTTCCTGACTGACTGTCCCAAACAAGTGTCCTCTGCCACTTCCCCAGCCAACCCACAGTGCCAGGTGCATTCCACTGAATTTGCTACCTGCACCTTTCTTCCCAACTGCACTCCAGAATTTCCATTTCCCAGAAAAATCCCCTTACTAGCTTCAATGACTGAAAAATCTTGAGGGCTGAGGTTTATTTGCCTTGGGCCTCAAAAGTGGGTCTTTCTGAATTTGAACACAACTCAAAATAACTGTGTGTGAACCTCAAACAATGTATTTCATCCATGGGTATTGTGTGATTTCCATGGAGGGCGGGTTATTATGCTGTCAAGGAACATGTAGCAGGGAGTGATGAAGTGATTGCCCAAGATAACCAGACAAGCAATTAGAAAAGCCAGAAACAGCACCCTCAGGTGCTATTCCCAAACCTCAGGTTTACAATCTCACCTGTTGGCAGCAATGGCAGATGTGATGTTTATCTGATTTCTAGGGTAGCCAGCTAAGATCCATGCTGTGTAATAACACCTGAGCTCACACATCCCATGGATATATAGGGTTGCTACTAGGGTAGTGAAGCTCCAGTATCTGTAGCCCAAATCCCCAATAAACACAGGCTTGAGACAGCTGAATTATTAGCTCCGAGGTTTGGGCTGCTTCATTCATTGAAGGTGGTATTGAGTGAGTGTTCGACCTGATTCTGTATGTTTCACTCTCATAGTGCAGACTGTTTTGGCCCCAGTCCTGCAAATACATTTCCCCACCGCAGCTAGCTCCAGTTTATGGCAGACACCTGGTGACTTGCCCGTGCTGTTTTTTTTTTTCTCTCTGCATACAGGAAAAGGGATGCTGTGGCTTGGCTGCTGTCATCATCATTAAATCTTCTCTTTTCATCCTCTTTCTTCCTTTCTTCCTTTTCAACTTCCAGTTAAGGCATTCTTACCACTTCAAAGTGTCAAGCAACAATTGAGAAATAATACTAGTACTGATAATAAATGCACAAATTTAGCTAATTTTACTGTTTGAATGTATTAATATAAACTGTTAATATTACGTGTTTTGCAAAACTGGAGTCCGGGAAGGCCTTGGCTCCATGCTTATTTAAACAGAGGCAGCTGATGTCAAGGGAGGAACTAGCAGATTTACATGCTGTTTACAGGGTGTACAGCCCAGTTGGGCAAGAACAAGGATATTCCAACTGACCCAAACGCTTTACAAAACTGCATTCCTGCATTAGCTGCTTTTTGCCAACTGGCAGGAAAAAGCGACAATGTCCTGGTAGCTGGCAGTCAGGAGTCAGTACAAAACGGCGACTGCTGTGCTACGGCCAAGAAAGCTTCTGCGAGTGGAAGCCAAGGCGCTGCCCGGGGAGCGCCCTGGCGCCCCACTCCCCAGCGCTTTGTGTGCGCGGCTGCGGGGCAGCGGCCGGGCCCTGGCGGGGGCAGCGAGGCGGGGATGCAGCTTCGCCCCCCGCCACCTCTGAGCGCAGCGGGAAGGGGGCGCCGGCGGGTGTCGCAGCGGGGGCTCGCCCCGGGGACCAGGCTGGGGGTGACCACGGGCACAGTGCCTCATCCCATCCCGTCCCGTCCCGTCCCGCGGGCGGCGGCGCTCGGCTCCTCCCTCCCCCGCCCCGCGGCGGCTCGGAGCGGCCGGTGGCGGCGGCGGCTCTGCGCATCACGGGCCACATCATCGCGGGGGCCGCCCGCTTCCGCGCCTGCCCAGTGGCGGCGGCGCTCACCTAGCGCGGAGCTGTCACCGCCGCCGGCGGCTCCCGCCCCGCCGCAGCGATGGAGCGCGACCCCGCCGCGCTGCCGGCGCCGCTCTCGCCCAGGTGAGGGGAGGGCGCGGCCCGAGGGGGCGGCGCGGGGAGCGAGGGCAGCGGGGCCGAGCGGGCCGGGGACCCGCCGCCCCGGGCCGGGGGAGGCGGCGGGGGCCGCGGGCGGGAAAGTTTCCCGGCCGGTGGCGGAGCCCTCCGAGCGCCACGCCGGCCCGCCCCGATGCCGGGGTGCCCGGGGCGCCCAGGGCTGGGGGACGCTCGGTGCCGCCCGCCTCCCGCCCCGGCCGGCGCTCCCGGGTGCCGCGGGGCTCGCCCTCCCCGTGCTGCGGGCCCCCCCGCTCCCGCCGCTCGTCTCCCGCAGCCGCCCCCGGCGCCGGCCGCGCCGGTGTCCTGCGCCCGGAGCGCGGATGCTGCCGCGCGTTTGGCCGCCCGCGCCCCGGTACCCTGCGCTCCCTGGAGCCCCGCAGCGCCTTTCATCATGTGCGCGTTATTATGCACTGCTCCAGGTAGCCGGGACAATGAGCCTTTTCTTCGGTTTCTCTCTAACTGCACAAGACCTGCCCAACGTTCCCAGTAGCCCCTATTCCTTGGCAGTCTTTACACCCGTATGGGCAGGCAGTTCTCTTCCCACCTTTGCACCCATGAAAATGTGCCAGATGGTCACCGCAGATGCATTGCTAGACAAGCATGGAACCTCTACCTGAACAACATGTGTACAGACTTCAACAACCATCTATTTTTTTGTTTACAAATGTTAATTAATGTGTACTTAATTATAATTAATGTGTGATGGCACGTTTATTCTCTTTACATACTTTTCTGCCAAAACATAGGAGCTTTTTGTGATTTATTCTACTTTACTTTCTACTCCTTCATTAATTCTCAGTTAACTTCAGGTTGTAGCTGTCTATTTTTCTAGTTTCACTGAATGTTACAATTACTGCTTCCCCTGGCCCACTGTCCAGGATATAGTTGAATGTCTTCTTCACTCACATTTGAATCTAGGTTATAGAGCACACTACAGTATGACAGTATGTGAATCATATAAAATAAAATAATTGTTTAGGCAATGTTTAGAACACATGCCTAGTTATTCTCACTTTACCAGTTTAGTAATGTAGGTAAAAAGATGAGAGCAGATAGGATGACCTGTTTTGGCAGCATTCCCTACATCTACTGCCCTAAAGAGATTGTGAAACTGGATCCATAAATACTGCAATATGCTTGATAGATACTCCAGGAGGAAAAATAACAGTGTATCATTTCCTTTTCAAATACCTGTATAATATTATTCACAAAAGCAATAGGAAGTCTGTATCCGAATGCCTGAGTTAATAAGTAATTCATCTCTCCTTGGTGATGACAGTAGAGACCTGTAATCAGGATCCCAAAGAGTAGTTAGGATTCATCCTGGTGAATACTTATTGGTTACTTAATCTACAGGACTGTATTAACTCTTATATTTCATACTCTCCCACGTGCTTTTGATGGGCTGAAGGATGTGATTTGCCTGGTATTTTTCATGCTGGTATTCCATTTGGGTCATTTTACAACCAACCACATTGCACAGCCTTGCTGCTGTGTTTTGACTCTGTTTTGGTCTTTTCTAGATGAGTTGCCTTAAAAGTGCAGAGTCAAACCAAGTCTTTTTCTCACAGCTGCTTTTCTCTTCCTTGGGGCCAAAATTGAAACCTGCCGTTTTCAGGAAGTGGAATGCAGCAGTCTCAAACTTGTCTGAAAACTGAGCCTGAGGGTGGCAGGTCTTTCCAGTGGCTTACTGTCAAGAAGACATCTAGAGGTTCTTTAGTCTGTTTTTTTCCTCTTGTTATTTGTTTATTTTGCTGTTAGTTTAACCAGCAACTGCCATACAATAAACACAGTGTTAACCAGTTTACTGCATAA